TGACAAAATATCGAAAACTTAATCTATCAAAAAATTTCGAGCAATTTTTTAAAATTTATCTTGAATAACTTTTTTCTAACAGGAAAATTTACCATGAGATAACACAATTGAACATCAAAAAGCATCTATAAGAAACTTACCAAGAAGTATCAAAGAGGACAATTCTTAAGCAGACATACATTGCGCCAATTTTTTTGAACTAAAAAAAGTTTTTTCTCAAAAGTTTTAAATGAAATTTTATTGCTTTCAAACTACTCCAAAAGAGGCCTCTAAGCTGATATATAAATATTCGAAACCTTTTAAGCCAATTAAAAAAGAGAAGGAGTAAACAAAAACAAAAAGAAAAAATTGATAAGCTGAGATATAAAACTATAAAAAGAATTACATAAAAGTATATTTTGCGCTCGAAACTATGCAATTTCAGTTTTCAATACCAATATCATGAGCAAAAAACGTTGGAACAAACTAAAAAACGAACCAGAATAATTAAAATTATTAAAAATCAGATTTGGTATTTTCATTAATTACAGATATTTTAGTTAGGACAAAAACCAGAAAGCCGAAAACAATTTATATTTTTTCAAATTGCCTAAGCGGGTTGCACCTGATCACAACCAAAAAGATATTAATTTTATTCGAATTTTCAATAGTTTGAGCATGTCAGCTATTGAGGGTGAAAGTTACCATTCCTGATGAACACTGATCAATCTTTGAAAACAGTTATTTAAAGGAGAAAAAGTCTAGTGCCCGATTGCAATGCCACAAAGGTTAAAAAGTAAAAGATGAATGTTTTTGATAAAAAATTGATCAAACCAGCTCATCATAAATTTTTTAAATATACTGTACCTCCGATTATTTTTTGTAAAGTTCTGGGGGTTTGAAAATGCCAATTTTGCCACCATATTCTGGACTAAATTATGCGCGCTTTAAAGAGTATTTTCATGATGCTGAGAGCATAACGCGAATTATTTATGCCTGGCGATTTACTCCGAACAACCGATTCATTCCAAATTGAATTGAGGCTAGCTAATCAGATCGGTCGTAATAATTTCGTACGACTCAATATTTCACACTTAGGTACTGTCCAAAATTTATAGGCTTTCAATATTTTCTTTTCTCAAAAACTATTCGATATGAATTATGGGACAGTCGGAACATTCAGGGCTTTGCCCTGATATACGAGCAGTCTTGTTAGAACTAAGAACGCTTTTAATTATAATTCAAATGAGTCGCGTTCAATCCGATAATTTGTCTGTTTTATAGAATTACGTTAACGGAAATATATTCATTTATTGTGTATATTCAAAAAACTGTTGCGAGTGAAATACAGAACCAACAACAGCTGAAAATTCCAAACTTAGAACCAAGTTGTTAACATCCTCCCTCTTACCCCAAGCGGCTTTGCCGAAAAAAGTATTCAAAAGAGGGCTGTCACTTTAAATAGTTTCAACCATGCATCAAAATATTAGTTTGAAATGATTTCGGAGCCAATTAACTTTCTGCTAAGGGACGCATTAAAAGAACAAAATTTGGGTCTTCGCATTATAGCTGCCCAGTCTAGTAACAAAAATATCTAGCCTTTACCGTGATATTACTGTTAACGGGGAAGGAAGTCATGTTTTGCTGGAGCTATAAGGGGAAAGATCCTGAAAGGTTTTGCTTACCATAATTGCAAAGACCATTTCAAATCCCCATAACTTCACGAAAAACAGTGGCAGCCAAAAAATCATTTGATTTCGAACTCAACCCGGGATGACCTCCATAAACCGAAAATGCTAATCATACAATTTCATACACTTAGTCTATGGAAAAAGGCTAGTCATAGAATTTTCATACATTTTTGCAAAATGAATTTAATCGAATTTCAAAGGTATTTTATTGTTGTTTTGGTATCGAAATTGGTATCTCTTCATAAAAAAAAGTAAAAAAAATTGGTATGAAAAAAAGCTAATCATACAATTTCCATATATACAAGTGTTTTTCTGAGAAACAATGACAAATCATGATATGTTTTTCTTCTAGAAAGCGTTCTTGTTTTTATTTTAGCGAAGGTTGAAAGACAATACGGTTCGTTTGCGACCATTCAAAGCAAGGAGTATTGTTGCCTATGGATGTATTTTAATTTTTTCCTTTTTTTCAAGTAAAAATCTTGTATCACGAATATTCATTGGGATGGTTCGGGGAACATACTTTTTGAAAACTTCTCGGACGTGATTCAAACCAGCTCGAAGTTTGAGAACCTGTCTCTATTGAGAAAAAACTGAGCCGGAAAGTTTCAGATTGAGTCTGTTTTCTGGTGAGTAGGTCTTAAAGGGCCTGCCCACTCGCTTTACCTGCTTGAAAGTAGCCTATTTTTTTCATATATTGAAAAGCAAGTTTTCATCACGTGAAGACAAAATTTTTAAGCTTCAAAGAACACTAGGTTGACAATTATTTTTAAAAGAACATTTAAAAATAACAAAAAAAATCAAAATTTATTTTTCGAAATTTGTTTTCAAATGATTTCCGATGATTTTTTTTCCTTTTTTTTTTCGTTTGTTGTTCATTTTTTGAGAAAAACTGTTAGGTTTTATATGCTAACTGTGATCTAATTTTCCTAGAGAAGCCTAAAGGGCAATTTAACTAACAAGAGGGCGTTCATATGACTTTTGTTGCTTCTGCTAGTTGTTCCTGAACAATACCTTTTTGTTTTTTTTTCAATGATTTTTTCAGTTTTTTTTATCAGTTTTTTTCTCCTGGTCATTTTTTCCAATTCTGAAACAAATTTAGGAAAAACTTTGAGCAATTTTGGTCATCTTTATTGAAATTCGTAACAAAAAACTGAATAAAGAAGACTCTGAAGACCAAAATCTGTTTTGGGTCGTGCAAAGTCGCAACATACCCGGGATGACCTCCATAAACCGAAAATGCTAATCATACAATTTCATACACTTAGTCTATGGAAAAATGCTAGTCATAGAATTTTCATACATTTTTGCATAATGAATTTTATCGAATTGCAAAGGTATTTTATTGTTGTTATGGTATCGAAATTGGTATCTCTTCATTAAAAAAAGTAAAAAAAATGGTATGAAAAAAAGCTAATCATACAATTTCCATACATAGAAATTGTATGATTAGCATTTAAAAAAAATTGTTTTTTGAAAAAAAAAAAACGCTTTGAACAATCAATTCGACTGCTGGCAAAACATTTAGGCGTTTTTTGGGCTGCTACAACTGAAACTTTGACTTTTTTTTTATTTTCGTTTTTTGAAAAAAAAACACTTGTCATACAATTTCCATATATGAAAATTGCATGACTAGCGCTTTTTTGGAAATAAACACCAAATTTGAAAAAAAAAAGAATCCAAATTTTCCAGATCGTAGATCATGATGAACTTGATGTGAACTGTTTGCAGTGACTCGTTTGTTTAAAATAGATTGTGTCAGACATCAAAATTTTCAAAAAAAAACAGGTGTTTTTCCGAGAAACAATGACAAATCATGATAGGTTTTTCTTCTAGAAAGCGTTCTTGGTTTTATTTTAGTAAAGGTTGAAAGACAATACGGTTCGTTTGCGACTATTTAAAGCAAGGAGTATTGTTGTCTATGGATGTATTCTAATTTTTTTCTTTTTTTTCAAGTAAAAATCTTTATCACGAATAATCATTGGGATAGTTCGGGGAACATACTTTTTTGAAAAATTCTCGGACGTGATTGAAACCAGCTCGAAGTTTGAGAACCTGTCTCTATAGATAAAAAACTGAGCCGAAAAGTTTCAGATTGAGTCAGTTTTCTAGTGAGTAGGTCTTAAAGGGCCTGCTCGCTCGCTTTACCGTCTTGAAAGTAGCCTATTTTTTTCATATATCGAAAAGCAAGTTTTCATCACGCGAAGACAAAATTTTTAAGCTTCAAAGAACACTTGGGTGACAATCATTTTTAAAAGAACATTTAAAAATAACGTAGAAAAATCAAACATTATTTTTCGAAACTTGCTTTCAAATAATTTCCGTTGATTTTTTTTTCTTTTTTTTTCGTTTGTTGTTCATTTTTGAGGAAAACTGTTAGGTTTTATGTCCTAACTGTGATCTAATTTTCCTAGAGAAGCCTAAAGGGCAATTTAACTAACAAGAGGGCGTTCATATGACTTTTGTTGCTTCTGCTAGTTGTTCCTGAACAATACCTTTTTGTTTTTTTTTCAATGATTTTTTCAGTTTTTTTTTATTAGTTTTTTTCTCTTGGTCATTTTTTCCAATTCTGGAACAAATTAAGTAGAAATTTTGAGCAAGTTTGGTCATCTTTATTGAAATTCTTAACAAAAAGCTGAATAAAGAAGACTCTGAAGACACTAATCTGTTTTGGGTCGAGCAAAGTCGCAACATAAGGCATCGTTAGCTATTAAATCATACAACAATTCTGCGAAAAATGTAGTTTCCTTCTCTGTGCAAAACCAAATATCAAATTTTTCTCTATATTCAGTGATATAGAAGAGCATAAAAAACTGAACTCAAACTGATTTTTTTAATCATGCATGCTGGCTATCTTGCTTCGATAAAAGCAAAAGTACTTATGCCAAAAGACTGAAACAAATTTCATATCAACACAGCTGCTTTCTTTAAGTCTACTCACAAACCGCAATAGTTACGTCTAAATTTTTCTCAATTTTTGGTTGTCTAAAGCTGATTAGCATTTCTTGGGCTTTGATTGAAATATTTCTTTATTTGTCTGATGCTTAAGCACCATATGAAGAGAAAGCCTCAATCATTAAAAACGTCCCGAGTAACATTTTCAAATTTTACACTCCCTTTATTGTTTGTGAAAATAATTGGTTTAACATAAGATTAAGAATCCAAAGTTTCGATTGTTGAGGCAAATAGCGGTATTCCGTAAAAAGCAAGAAGGTTGAAAAAAATCTTCAAAACAAAGGGTTTTCATTTTTAGTAGTTTTCATCAACCATATATCAAAATATCAGCCGAGTGAAAAAACAAAGAAAAAAACTTTGTCGACCCTTGCCTTTGTCGACCCTTGCCTGTCCAAAGCAATTTTTATCGCTGGTGACTTTGCTGACCCGTGATTCAGTTTATACTTTTCATAAAGGGTGCCAACTTCTTATACTTTTTAAAATATATTTAAACTAAATCTGATTTTCCGTGATCCACAATACCAAAACCAATCATATCGATTTCATTCCAACTAAATTTAACAGCTGTTTTTTAGTATTTGATCAGAGCTTCAGTTGGATTTAAAAGATTTCCACTTCATTCCGGCGGACTGACAGTAACGTATTTATCAGGCGTGTACTTTTCCAACTGTGGAACACCTTTGCCAGACTTCTTGATTGCCTTCAGATCTTTGTAGAGTGTTTGGAACGATGGCCGGATCCCTGGTCGGTTCCAGCATCCAGTCATGACCGTGTACCATTCGTTCGAACAGTGAAGAGGTTTGGGCATCTTGTAGGATGAGTTAGTCACACATTTAGTCAGCACATCGACATTGGAATGATTGGGATAAGGCAGTCCCCCAAGGGTGACAATTTCCCACATGACAATTCCAAATTGCCACACGTCTGTTTTCGTACTGAAAATGAGAACAGTCACAAAACAATTTTAAAAAATGTTTCAAATTAGGAATTACTCCAAAAAAGAATGCATCATTAAGTAAAGACTAGCGAATTTTATAAGTACAGGTATACAATTAAGAACTGTTTCCTGATAGCTAATTCTGATTTACGTGAAACCATTTTTCGCAATCGTACCTGGGTTGACCTCCATAGACCAAAATTGCTAGTCATACGATTCCAAAAACTAAGTCAATGAAAAAATACTTGTCATGAAATTTCATACAATTTGCTAAAATGGTTTCATCGAATTTTTAAAGGACTTGTTTCTTGTTTTGGCATAAAATTCAGTGTATGGTACTAAATAAAAAAGAAAAATTTTTTGTTAAAGAAAATTTTTGTCAAAAGAAAAACTTTTTGTCATATATAGAAATTGTATGACTAGCATTTTTTTCATGGCTACAACAAAAGTAAATCTAAAATTGCCCCAAAAAATTTTTTTGTGTTGTTTTTTAACCGCAAGCCGAATTTTGTACTCAAACAAACATTTTTCAAAAAAAAATTTTTCACGCAAAATTTAATTTTTTGGTGTGCATAACGTAGTCCTGGATACACTAATTTCGTTATATTATTTGTGAAAGGCAGACTTAAGACATTTCAGGCCGTTTGCAATGCATTTATATTGCGAGACGGTCAAAACTTTGGTTACTCTAGTATGAGTAATCAAGGTTATTGTCACTTGTGAGAAATTAAAATGTAAAAAATCAATATTTTTGGTTTATGGAAAAATGCTAGTCATACAATTTCCATATATGAAAAATCAATAATCATAGACGTTTCAGGCATTTTTCTGTACTTATGGAGTTGCATGAAAAGTGTATGAGTAGCATTTTCCATATGTGAAAATTGTATGATCAGCATTTTTGGTCAACCCGGGTATATTGATCCTCGTGTTTTTTTTTTGGTTTTCCAGGGTCTCGCCTCGATGAGCCTCAGGGCTCGTGTGCGATCCTTGTGAGTTAAATATTGTATACGTATATATTCTCACTAAATACTTCAATTCAATTCATTAATGAATATCAAGGAAGAGCAGCAACTTGAGCAAGCGCAAAAGGTAATTCAACCTGTTTAAGTGCCGCTGAAAACATAATATTGAGTACTAACTTTTTTATGAATTTATACAAAAATGAAACATAGGACAAAAAATGGCAACAAAATTATTCATGTTTCTGCATGCCAGTTAATTTTTTCTATCATGAATTGTTGTATTTTAGACACTTTTCTTAGAAAACTATTTTAGATTGTGTTGGTAACTATTTACAAATTTTGCATCTAGTAAACAGAAAGTCAAGAATACCTTTTTTTCGACAGACTTACGAGATCTAGAGTCAAGTTAATACGCTTGAATGGTTGAGTGTTTTTGAAACTGCTGGAAAGGCTGCTACATGTATTTGACTTGAACAAATAAGTTTTATTATTTCGACCACTCCACGAAGTGAGTGGGAAGCAACTGTTGTCTAGGATGCGTTCTTACCCACTCACAATCAGGTTCCTCGGAGAAACTTCAGCTGGCTGAGAGTCATACGATATGACAGCCTATAGGGCAGAGAGAAAATGCGGGTTTGCTATATAATTCATCTTTCATCGTCGTATTTTCTTTAACTTTTTTAATGCCTAGTAACGATTAACGGAGTCGTTTCTGATCTACAGCAACCGTGAATATTTGTTTGATTTACTAAATCAAAATCTAATTAATTACTTTGCTGTTGCATTTCGAGAGAGCTTTCGTTTTTGCAAAAGGGGAAATGCAATTGCGGTCTAATTTTCAGGCAAACTTAATCCTTGTTTTAGCCGAGACTAGTTGCTTGTTTTAGCCGAGACTTGTTTTAGCCGAGATAAGTATCATAGGATGGGGGGGGGTGTTATTTGACTTTAACTCATCTGCATCAAAAAGTTGACCTGTGATTTGCCAAACTTACCTGAAGGTGTTATCCGAGACACTTTCAGGTGCCATCCAGCGCCATAAAATTGGAAGTTGGTGGGCAGAAGCGCTCATTTCCACCGCCTTTTCACCCGGAATCGGGATCGTTGATTTTGCCATTCCGAAGTCACAGATTCGACATCGTCCTTGGTTGTCGACGAGGACGTTGCGGGCTGCGAGGTCTCGGAGTACATAACCGTTCGAAGCGACATGTCGCATTCCGCGAGCGACATCCAATGCAAAAATGACCAGTTGCTCCCCATTTCGCTGAAAAAAAAGAATCTGATCACCTGTTGCAGCAAAAATTAGACCAAGGAGATATCTAATTATCGAAAACTTATGGTAATTAAATTAGTCGTTCAGGGGCGGATTTAGGGGAGCGCATTATTGAGGGGAGCGAATTTTAATTTAGGGGAGGCCGAAAACGGCATTTTTGGCCGATTTTTATCTAAAATTTGCCTGGAGCAAATTTTATCTAAAATTTGCCTCTAAATTTTTGGTCAAAATAGGGTCTTTATAGTATCCTGGGAGCGCTCGGAAAATCAATTTGGTCGACCTGAAAAAAGGTCGAGCAAACTTCCGAAAAACTTTTGAAAATCCGCCCCCCTCGAGAAAATCCTAGATCCGCCCCTGCAGTCATTTAAGCATATATAGGGCTATTTATAATTGATTTTAGAGTACTAACTGTACGTAATCTATTAATTTTGTCAGGTTTTTTTATATCACATGCACCTCTTTGGTTGGCCCAACACCATAATAACTTTTCATGTAGTAATTGCTAAGACATCCAAATGAGTAGTGTTTAACCTGTATGTGGGCCAAATTCTGTCTCGACTCAGCTTCCAGATCCTCGTCTGGGTGGCCCGAATCCCTGAGTTCCAAAAGAACCGTTTGCAGATTCCCTCTATGGTACAGTGGGAAAACTATATTCAAATTACCCTCTATTTGCGTAATTCCGAGGAGCTCGATAACATTCTGATGACCAGTGAGTTCTGCTAGGATCTCGAACTCATTTTGCAACTCCTCGACTACCAGGAGGTTCTCTGGATCCCTCGCACGTTTAAGTGCAATCTGGCGACCTCCGCTTGGAGTCCAAAGTCCAGCGTGAACAGAAGCAAACTCCCCGGCGTCCAGAGTAGATCTTATTTGAAACTCCTCGTTGGGAATGAGCCAGCGTTTGTTTAACAAATTAATCTTCGCCAATCGTTCGGCTTGTTTAGATTTCTCGTACTGTTCCCAATTGATACCTTTCTTGAGTTTCTTCAGATTTTTCTTACGAGGGAAAGGCTTTTTGTCTCGAAGTGAACCGCCGCTGAATTTGATATAGACAAGGAGCCATAAAATACAGCCTAGAATGGTTCCTAGTCCTAATAGAGCAAATACCCACGCTTGTACTTCGCTTTCATCTCCACTTTTTACAGCTGAAGGCACTATTTCCATTTGAACACAGTTGTATGTTGCAATAAGGTCCTGACATCTGGTACCTAGAACATACAAATAAAAGTAAATCCAGATTTGTGGACCTTGATTACGAACTACACATAATCTCAGATTGCTTAGTATAGGGAAATGAATCTTCACTCTGGCCTTTCAAACCGTATGGAGCACCATCAACCACTTAGCTCATGATGAGACATTCATGCTAATAAAGCTCGTACTTTCCCCCACAACGTCGGACTAATTTAATGTCGTCTTTTTTGGCCGACGAACAGGGTAATGAATTTTCACTGCGCTTTGTCCTGAACAAGTTAATATAGTGCTGATTTAAAACAACCAGATAATTGAACTAAAACGTTAAAACATAATTTTTAAACTCATTTTTTTCAAATTTGGTTATATTTGCCCGAAAAACGAAAAAAAAATGCATAGAAATATACCAGCTTTTTTGCAGTGCATTTTTTGCAAAACTTTGAACCAAAATTACACCCAAAAACGGGTCAACTAAATCAGGGAAGTAAACAGGGTACAAAATTGTAAGAATTACTATGAGTGACCCTTTTTTACCTCCCTAATTTAAAACCAAACGAAATGACCCAAACGAAGTTTTATGGGAGTAATTTTGGCTGAAAATTTCAAAAAAAAATGCACCAAAAAAAAGCTGGTAAATCTTGAAGCATTTTTTGTCCTCATCATTTTTTTTCGGCCAAATATAACCGAATTTGAGGAAAATGAGTTTAAACTGTTTTCGTTCATTTTATCCGGTTGTTTTAATTCAGCAGAAAATGCAGCGAAATTTCATCAAATTGCCGAAACATGCATAAACAAAAAACAAGACTGCTCGTATATCAAGGCAAAGCCCTGAATCTTCCGACTGTCCCTTAATTCATATCGAATAGTTTTTGGGGAAAAAAATATTGAAAGCCTATCGAAGTGTGAAATACTGAGTCGTACAAATTTAATACGACCGATCTGATTAGCTAGCAGACTCAATTTAATTTGGAACAAGTCCGTTGTGCGGGATAAATCGCCACACATAAATAATTCGCGTTACGCTCTCAGCATTATGCAATGAATAAATTCTTCAAAGTGCGCATTATTTAGTCCAGAACATGGCCAATTTGGCAAATTTCAAACCCCCTGAATTTTACAAAACATAATTGGAGGTGAAACATCTTTTTAATTTTGAGTTTAAGAAATCGATATCTTCAATGGGGTATAAAAACTTATGTTGAAAACTATCATTTCGATCGGCAAAAATTGAAAAATTGACTGAATAAAACAAGACTGCTCGTATATCAGGGCAAAACCCTGAATGTTCCGACTGTCCTTAATTCATATCGAATAGTTTTTGGGTAAAAATATTGAAAACTTATTCATTTTGGACAATATCAAAGTGTAAAGTTTTGAGTCGTACGATATTAAAACGACCAATTAGCTAGCCTCAATTATATTCAGAACGATTTGGTTATGCGGGATAATTCGCCACGCATAAATAATTCGCGTTACGCTCTCAGCATTATGAATAAACTCGTATAAAAAATTTTCGTTGAAAATTATTATTTCGACCGGTGAAAATTGACTGAATGAAAAAAACCACACCGAGCATAAATATTCAGTTTTTTTCGAAAGTCGGAACAAAAAAACCACGCTGAGAATAAATATTCCGTTTTCTTCGAAAGTCGGAACAACAATCCAACTCATTGAATTATATCATCAGAATTCGGCGAATTTTTACTGCCTACTGCAAAAAAAAATCACTTCATGAAAAACCCAAATACTTGTGAAATGAAAGATGATTTATAAAAAACATTTTTCGAAAACACCCTGTATTTGAGCTCTGATTGTAAAATACCAGAAATGAAGATAAGTTTTACTGTTGGAAATTAACTCTCAATTTACGACAAATAGTACAAAATTAAGGGTGTTTTCAGCTCAGCTATGCGGACCAATTTTGGTGTGATTCAAGTTTGTTTATGAAAATTGGAAGCTATATTGCTTCAAACCTGATCGTTTAAACTTTTAAAAAGTCGAAATTTGAAAGCACCGTAGATTTGATCAGCTTCATTCTATTGTTGGGCCGTATGGGAGAAAATAACCAATGTTTATGTAAAATTTGAGCTTCCGGCCGCGCTGAAATCAAAAAAGGAGTCAAGATTGACCTTCTGGGCATGTGCTATTCTGGCAGTTGTCTATCTTCTGGTCGCAAAAGTCGCCAGAGAAGCCAGTGAAACAGGTGCACTGCGGAGAACCAGACTCGACTGAACAGACTCCCACTTTACACGTGTCAAAACTGCAGCTCATTTTCAGCTTAGTGATAATCAAAGAATTACGACAACGATAACGCCACTTTCCTCGATTTTCTTTAACAAAGTTAATTCAAAATTAAGGAAATTATTATTTCGGAAAAATTAAGTCAGTCCGCGTAGAATATGAAAGTACAAAAAAATTCAAAAAAACCCACTTTTTTGATAAAATTAATCAAAATGATGTTAAGTACGATTATTGTAAAATTATCGAGACTATAAATAGTAATGTAAATCAATTTAATGGTATCTTGAAAAAGAAAATAAATCATTCATGTTGATAAAATTGTTTCATTTACTGAAGTTGCTCACAGATAATTTAATACAGCATTTTTTCATACTGCAGTTTTTTCTGGTGTTATTTTTTAAATAATGCTATTTCACGCGGAATGAGATTTTATTGTAATTTCTGAAACCATATGTTACCAACTAACTGTGCTTAATTCTGAACTAGCATTTCGCATTTATTGAGAACAAAATTCAAACCGCAGAAAATTTGCTAAGCCGAGTGAATTTGAAGATAATGCTTTCAGATTTGTAAAGAAACATTTATTTCCTATTGCAGGCGATTTTTAAATTATTCAAACAGTAATCGCAGGCCAAACGATTTTTATTTCCTGAGTTCAATCACTTAAAACGCTTCTGACTCACAATTTTACGTTATTTTTTAAAGATGTTTCTTACTTTAATGTAAGAGACGAGACGAAATTTCTTCTCTTCTGGCCTTTTAAACTAAAATTGTGAGGTTTTTCCAGCGCTTACTCCGCAGTTGTCGAGATGCTTATTTATGATTTCCGTGATTAGATCCCACTAAGTGTGACTAAACGGGCTGATAACTTTCGCATTCAACACTAATCGAGCCTGAACAAAAAGAGGCGTGGCTTAGGGTTGGGTAATCACTAAACTTATAGTTGAATGCAGTTTTTATTCTAAGCCAGAGAGTTACAGCAGTTCACGACAAATCTCGGATATAATTGCCATCCATGGAACAATTTGACTGATAGACAACATGAAAATGATTGAAAACTGTTTAAATCGAAAAATGTTTATAACAAAAACAAGGATAGCAGGTTGCTATCAAGTGTCACAAATTTTCACACCACATTGATTTCAGAAAACCTAATCAAAAATTTAAAAATCATATAAAATCTAATAAGAAATTGAACGCTTTTTTACATATTTGGTTTTGTCTAAAATAGTGATAATTTTTTCTATAAAAGACAATTGTATTAGGTTGCAAGTGAAAAAAAAACAAGAATGAGTGGAATAAACATCAACAAAAGTTCCATAACAAATTTATACGTGTCCTTAATAAAATTGCAACAAAGGGATCAATAGGCTCTTCTTGAAAACGATTACTAAATTTAAAACTAAATTTTTCTGGCAACTTCATCGTTTTCCAAAAAGATTGAAGATCAAAACTTTTGTATCCACGCTTAAAATTGATTTTACCCTTGATAAATTGCTGCTCAGATACAGAGACAAAGTTGCAATTTGCGCTTATCAGCAAAAACAGCTAATCTGTTTTTATCAAAATCTGTTTTATGGTAAATGAATATGAAACAAGACTGCTCGTATCAGGGCGAAGCCCTGAATGTTCCGACTGTCTTTTAAGTTTTATGGAGCAGTAATAACATTAACAAACTCAATGAAACAAAACAAAATGAAAAAAATTATCCCCCCACACGCCATATAAAGTACAAAAGGATAGATTTTGCTCCTTGTAACAAACCATTTATGGCAAATAAGCTTCTTTTAACCAATTTGGAACGATTTCTGAGACAGATTAACTCTCCACTAACGCGTTAATAGCGCGAAATATATCGCGCGTTAATTGTCACAAATTGGGCAAATTGGCAATCTTTAAACCCCTGTAACTTTACGAAAAATGATCACAGGTGAAATATCTTTTCAAATTTGAGCTCAAGACAACAATACCTTTCGAATGATATTAAAAAGTTCCGTCAAAAATAGCTAGTTAAAAAGTCGAAATTTGTCTGAAGAAAAAAAAACCCACCCCGAGCACAAATATTCCGTTACTTTCGTATCGAAAGTCGGAACAATAATGGGAGCGGTAGAAGCTCAAAACATAATTGAAAGAACATATGTTTTAATGATTATTTTTAATCACCGGTACTTACAGATAAAAAATCTAGGCCTAAACAGTACAGCAACGGAAAGAATTCTTAGTTTTGCTTTCGTTTCAAACAAAAAATGAAATGTGTTAAAAATCTTAGAGAGGATTTAAAGTTTTATATGCTTCGTAATTCAAAAAATTTTGAGCGCTTTTGGAACTATTCTGACAGAAACTAAGAGGACACATTCCGATAATTTTAAGCCTTGATTTTGTGGCAAAAATTAAAATTTTGCATGTTTCGAACTAATGATAGATTTAATTATTTGGAGTCTTGGTTCCAAAGAAACAAGACGCAAAGAAGATTGATTTAGTTTTCAATTAAAACTGTTTCCTGGAGAACAATTTACTAAAAGTGAACATTCCTATGCTACCTTAGATCAGTTTTTTAGGAGTTAGTTCTTAACAAGGCAATGAAACTACAATTTTCCTCCCACTATTTTTAGGTAATCTCAAATTAGGTAATCTCATTTTTTTAATTCGAAATTTTTTATGAAAATCATCCCCCCGCACGCCATTTAAAGTACAAAAAGATAGATTTAGCTCCTTGTAACCAATCAATTATGGCAAATAAGCTTCTTTTAACCAATTTGGAACGATTTCTAAGACGGATTAAATCTCCGCTTACGCGTTAATAGCGCGAAATATATCGCGCGTTAATTGTCCCAAATTGGCCAAAATGGCAATCTTTAAACCCCCATAACTTTACGAAAAATGATCACAGGTGAAATATCTTTTTAAATTTGAGCTCAGGACAACAATACCTTTTGAATGATATAAAAAAAATTCCGTCAAAAGTTAAAAAGTCGAAATGTGTCTGAAGAAAAAAAAACCCACCCCGAGCACAAATATTCCGTTACTTTCGTATCGAAAGTCGGAACAATAACAAACTTTGGAGTGAAAAAAAAAACTGAAAAGGGAACAAATTAGATACATCAATGTTGGATAGAACATTTTATAACCGAACTATTGAAATCAATTTCTACACTGAACACATTTTTCCACCACTTCAAGGACAAAACAGAGTCAAAGCATAGCTTTACATCATTAGCTATACATTTTAGACATAGGATGCCAATCTAGCTGATGGAATAGTTGAGCGAAAACAACGAAGTCGAAAAAATTGCTCGAAAAAGGAAAGTATCGAAAACTAAGCCTAACAAATTTTCCACTAATAATTTTCAACATATATATATTTAAAGAAAACATGTCGAGAAAGACAATTGCAAGAAATAAATAATCATTGAAGCAAAACTTATGAATTGTTAACTGAATCAAAAAAACTCAAACCTCTGTTAAGCCAAAAAAAATCTGTCACGAAGATTTTGAGCTACAAAAAATTATGAATGTTGAATGCCACAATTTCAGAACAAGTTTGTACAAAATTTGAATTTGTTTGAGCAAAAAAGCAGCAAACAAAGCAAGACTGCTCGTAACAGGGCGAAGCCCTGAATGTTCCGACTGCCTTTTAAGGTTTATCGAGCAGTAGTAACATAAAAAATTAATTGTAATGAAATAAAATGAAAAAAAAAAAATTCTAAAATTTGAAATTTTTTAAATGAAATTATCCCCCCACACGCCATATAAAATACAAAAGAATAGATTTCGCTCATTGTACCAAATCAATTATGGCAAATAAGCTTCTTTCAGTCAATTTGGAACGATTTTAAGACGGATTAAATCTCTGCTTACGGATTAATAGCGCGAAACATATCGAGAGTTAATTGTCCCAAATTGGCCAAAATGGCAATCTTTAAACCCCCATAACTTTACGAAAAATGATCACAGGTGAAATATCTTTTCAAATTTAAACTCAGGACAACAATACCGTATGGAAAGTCGGAACAATAAATCACAAAAAGTTATAAAATCAGAATTAGCTTACAGCCAAAATAATTAATTATATAGTTGACACGGAGGCAATGCAGAGCTTTGTATTACTTGAAACACAACGCAAAGCTAACAGACGGAAACAACTATGTAGAAAACAATTTTGAATAGACGATTTTTTTTGATTAAAATGAAAAATTCAATTTTAGAAAAATCTTCAGTTATACAAATACCAGCATTAGGTACAATTTTACTTTTTATTAAGCGACAGCTAAGCTGACAATAAGTGGGTAGACGACCATTGAGCCGCAAACAGAAAAAAAACCTAAATAAACTGGCGTCATAAAAAAACTTCAAGTTTTAAAGCGATTAACTTTTGAAACTTCGAATTTTTGCACCACCACCGACCTGAAATAATTTGAAAACAGCGAATTTTGCATTTCAAACGACACAAAAAAGTTTGAGTAAGCCGATACAGCATAAGCCGAAATTATAAAGGCCGAATGATACTTTCATGTGAAAAAAAAGGAAAGTATGTGAAGACTGGGGTAGTAAATTTTAAATTACAGTAGAAAATCAACAATACTTGGACTGCAGGAAAAAATGCTTTCATCACAAAAAACATATGCACACAAGCAATAGGCAGACAAAGCATTTTTACCGGAAAAAAGTTACAGATTCAGATATACGGAAAAAACATGGTCCGGAAGCGACTCAAACCCCAGACCAAAGGTTGCCAAGGCAAAGTGGGAAGGAGACTGGAAGTAATAAAGGTTCACTAATAAAACAAGCACAATTTGTTATATAAGTTTATAAGAAACATGCCAAGAGTAATCTTCGCAAAATTGATCAATTCTTATAAATTTGTGAAGAAACTTGTTTTTATGAAAAAAAATCTGGATCTCGATTAGAAGACAAGTGTCCCCGCCTTCTTTCCCACAAAAATCTTGTTCACGCAATGGTAAATTTTTACATAATTTGTCGGCTAAGCAACGCATTTTTTAAAGCAGATGGACGTGAACCGATTTAAAAAGAACAACTCGAGAAGCATGGGGATATAAATTTATACATAGTGAAGCTGCACTTCGAAAATATCCGCAAAAAACACAGTTAAAAATGAAACAAAAGCTATGGAGTTTTACACCCGGATCTCCAGATTGTAAGTAACCTTCCTTATCCACTGAGCCATGTTGTTCTTAATCTAAAACTATTTCTGTTTTGATTTTAATATTGCTTTATCTTTAGAAATCAGGTTGTAAAAGATACAAGATACAAAAATAAACATATATAAAGGAATATACAAAAAGGATCGGTTGGCATACAATAATCCACATAGAAATAAGTTTAAAGCAGACATTTAGTCAACCATTCAGTTAAAAAAAAACGAACCGTAATCAAAGTCGCCAAAACTGCCTAATTATTACGACGGAGAAAATAATTCTCCTGCTGCCGGGGTCTCAATTTAAAATTTTCTGTCGGAATTCTGTACAGATAGGTACGTTTGGGAAATGTCTAGCTTGAAAAAATGTTTGAGAATTGATTTGCCACCGAATACTGTAACACATGTAATCACGTTCTGAAGTGAAATTTG